AAAGTTACTTTAATGAAGCTGGGCGAGGCGGCATAAGACAAGGACTCAATACTAAGGTGAGGGCAATGGGGCGAGGAGGAGTTTGAGGCCCCCTGCTACAGAACAGCTCTGTCTCAATGAAGAAGCGATCTTGGTTGTACAAAATGGTGGAACAGAGAAGCCTCGCTGGAAAGTACACACTTTGTAGCACAACAGAAGCAAAGACTTGAACATTTCAGCCAACTTTGTGCTATTTAATTTCAAATATTCTTTTTTTCACTTTTTACATATTTACGTGTTTTTATCAAGCTATTTCAAATTCATCCTAAACTCGGATCATCCGGGGACTCCAGGGCCAAGCCAAAGATGAGTTAAGAGAACTGCTCTTGATTGCTGTGGGTTACTGGCGTCAGACTTTGCTCTGTTTTCTTGGAAAAGTCACAAAAGGGGTTGGGATGGTTCAATGGCACAAGTGAATCACTTGCCAAAGCAGCCAGGGTTACACACTTGCTTCCTACTGGGTCTGTGGTTCAATCAGTTGTGAGTGTGCTTAATGCAGGGGTCATGTTAACCTTCCTACTTCAGGAAAACAATTCTGGTTCTAATTGTGCTGCTGGTATTATAACACAAAGAATAAGAACCTTTATATAATGCACCTATTACTTGAAGGTAATTACTGTCAGGCGACACTGAAATAATTAACTTTGAATTAATCACATGTTTTGTCCCTTTGTTCACATCAACTTTGTAGACATGCTCGATAAGTATAACCTGCCAGAAGAATGAATAGTGAAAAGGAGGCTAAAAATTTTCTCCTCAGAATCAGTAATTGGGAGAAACAGCAGATGTGGGTAATTAACAGATGAATGCGGTGCTGGAGGATGCAGGATATATAACACATGAGCTGGTTCAGAGTTGTTATTAAAGGTTAGAGGTTTAAATAGAATTTGAGTCATTATAGTGCCCATTCATGGTATAAATAACATCTACGGCTCAGAAGTACTAATGGCTATTTAGTTAACACAATTAAAAAAATAAAAATTTTAAAATGTTAACTCTAAGCCCAAAGCTATAAACACGTAAAAGCATATGGAGTTTTGGTCCCATGATTGGACCAAGGAAAATTTAGTTATTGAAAACACACATGCTTACATTAGTTTGATGTGCCCTTTCACTGAACAGAAGCAAATAACTATCTAATTGAAATGTATCCAACATATCAAATTAAAAGAAACTCCTTAAAGCGCTGATTTGGAAACCACTTTTCCCCTGATCCCAACTTTTTCCCACATGTGCTAGTTGACGTTATTCAAAAGTTTCATCAGTGCTTTTTTTCCTTGTGCTGATGATAAAACACTTTCCGTTTGTTTCCAGCAAGGGGCTTCCTGATCAACGACTGTACCGTGCTACTGAGCCCTCACTGTGACAGATGCCAAACATATACCAATCAGCACAGTCAACTGGTGGCTTGCCTGATTGTCCCAGATACTAGAATTCATTCAGAAGTGTTTTGGCTTAATGAGGCTGGTACACACGTTAAAGAATTTCCCCATCTTCTTCAAAGAACGACAACAACCCAAAAGCAGAAAACCAGCTACAACAAAACCATGGTAGCCGTCTCCCTCGTTTATAATCTATACGTCATGTGAAAGGAGAGTTCCACTAGGGTGGCCACTAAAGAGACAACAGGGTAGGCTGGGGTGACAGCTCTGCAGCTAAGAGCACTGGCTGCTCCTGTACAGGATCTGAGCTCGGGTCCCAGCACCCTCACCCTCATGGCAGGTGTCTGAAACTTCAGTTCGAGAAGATCTGACACCCTCTGCTGGTCTCTGCAGGCATTGCACGCATGTGGTGCACCTACATACATGCATGTAAAGCACATAAAAATAAACAAAAAATATAAAAAGATAAAACGTCAAAAAACTAAGATTCTTCTCAGGCTGCAGTGAAACTTTATCAAAGCTGAAACGGACACATTACATCCATGCAATCCTCCATGTTATTTACTTGGAAAGATGTGCAAAGCTTTTACCTCATTTGATATTTTAAAAACTGCTGTTTGAATAAAGGAAGAATGATTTTCCCACTTAATAGGGGAGACAAATGAAGCTCAGAGAATCAGGCGGCCTTCTCGAAGTCACGTTTGGTTATTAACAAGAAGACCACATCAAACCACCCTGAACCGCATGTCCTCTTACATTTACATCACACAGACTCTAACAACCCGCAGAGATGTGGCAGAGCCGCTGCCAATTTCCTTGGGACAAAAGTCCCTCCCACTTAAGCTTTAAGGCATTTTAATTGGAAAGCTATTTCAGTTTTAGCTTTAATGAACTCAGATGCAAATTTCTTGACACATGAGCCTAATAACGACTCAAAAAGTTTTAAGAAGACCAAGACCCAGCCTATCGTTTGTTTCACACACCAATTGCTTCGAGTTAAATGAGACGGTATTTGGTAAATGTTCAGCTTTCAGGTACATTCACCAGCCCTTTCACTGCAGAGAGGTAGACTATGTTCCTCCACAAGAGGCACTGACTCTTCATCCTCTGAGACAAGGATTTCCTATCAAATTATCCCCATAAGATATTTTATAGACTCAGTCTTTATGATGACCCCAAATTCCTTTGTGGACCTCCTCTGGCAGGGACAGTATGAGGAGATGAGTTTCAGGGGGTCGTCAGGTCATGGCGTCCTCCGTGGGAGTGTGTACTTGTAGAATCCTGCTCCAAGTCCACAGCCTGGAGGAGGAACTTGAGACTCTAAGCATGCTAGCATCTGTTTCCAGGTCTTTCAGCTTCCAAAACTTCCTGTTGTTTATAAGCCATCCTGTCTGTGGTAATTTATTCTAGCAAACCCAACTGACTAAAACAGGTTTTCATTAATTCACTTCTGATAAATAGAAAAAAAAAATCTTGAAAGTTTGTGGTAATGAGTATTTCTCTAATATTACAAAACTTGTGTCAACAGTACTTTCAACATGTTGTCTCTGGACAAACTGATGTGCTTGTTTTCCTAAGCTTTAGTATTAACTAAGAGTTTCTACATGTTTGCAAAGATGAATAAAACCAAAGTCCTGTCCTTGAGGTAGGTACAGCCTTGGGGAGGCAGAAGAAGTAAACTAACAATGGGCTGTCATAATTATTCTAACAGAGAAGAGTTTAAAGAAAATAGCATGAAGGACGGTAAGAAGAAATTTGTTTTGCTCATGTGGTGTTCCCCAGAAGTGATACAATCTCATTTTCTCGTTCTTAATATTTTCACAAGGAAGGTGGGCAGTTTGGGTTATTCAGGAGACCAAGGTAATACAAAACACAACAGAACTATGCGTGTAATGGAGTCAAAGTCAGAGGATTATACAGTATCATCGCTGTAGGATCAGCTTTTCAGTAGAAGGACGCCTGCCTTGGTGGGACTGTGCAGGCACTAAGTGAAGGGATTTATCACAAAGTATTCTGCTAAGGGAAAACCACACAGGAAATAAGAGTTGCCAGAAAGAGAGAACATCCCCTAAAGAGTGTCAGGTAAACTCTTGTGAAGGGGAAACCCTGGAGAGACCCCAGCACTATATCCTGACTGGGAGAAGACAGAGCATGAGGGGGCTGGAGTAGCAAAGTCCCTTCCTTCTCAGACTTGTTAAAGACTGTCCAAGGGACTATGCAAATTCCCTGGTCAGCTAGATGAGGTTTCAGAGCAGCAAAATATCCACCTCAGGTCCCACTTCAGGGGACTTGGTTCTGAAATCTGTCCAACTTGCATCTAGGCATATGTTAGGTCTGAAGAAGAACATGTAGAGTCTCTGATGGATGGGTCACAACACAGACTGTCTGAAAACTATCCCCAATTTCTAGCCTATAACAAGCTAAATAAAATTTAATGAAGCTACTGAAAGCATTAAGAACAAAGATGAAAATAAGTAATGATTTTTTATAAACATACAGTTATTCAGAGACTTTTTTTATCGCATATGTTAGGTCTGAAGAAGAACATGTAGAGTCTCTGATGGATGGGTCACAACACAGACTGTCTGAAAACTATCCCCAATTTCTAGCCTATAACAAGCTAAATAAAATTTAATGAAGCTACTGAAAGCATTAAGAACAAAGATGAAAATAAGTAATGATTTTTTATAAACATACAGTTATTCAGAGACTTTTTTTATCCATAAGCAAAAATATTATCATCTTGTTGCT